AGTTGCCTTCTGACACACTTCCACTTGATGTCAGGGGGTGTGGCATATGCAAATAAGTTTATTTATTTATTTATTTATTATTAAATTTATATCCCGCCCTCCCCCGTAGGGCTCAGGGTGGCTCACAAGGCAAGAAATCTTGCTGATAAAAACATCAAATAATTTAGTACAATTAAAAACATAATATACAATTTCAAACCCTCTCCAACATTAAAATATTCAAACAACAATTCATCCATTCATCCATTTCGGAATCTCAGAGAGGACAACCACAACCACAAACCAGACGGGGGGGCGGCGGCGGCCCCTAATCGAAAGCCTGGTGGAAGAGCTCCGTCTTACAGGCCCTGCGGAACTGCATCAGGTCCCGCAGGGCCCAGATCTCCTCCTGGAGCTCGTTCCACCAGGTGGGGGCCGCCACCGAAAAAGCCCTAGCCCTCGTGACGGCCAATTTAGCATCTTTGGGGTCCGGCATAGTTATAAGATTTTGGGCCCCAGACCGTAGTGCTCTTGGGGGAACATACGGGGAAAGGCGGTCCCTCAGGTAGGCTGGACCCAGACCATATAGCAAATAAGTTATAATAATGGAAACTGAAGATGTGCAGTAGTTCCAATTCACGTCCATTTTTTTTTCAAAAAAATCATTAAACAGGTTTGTAATAATACTGCTGCTGCGTCCTAGAAGTTTGACCACATTATTCTTATTCTAATTCTAATTCTTCCATAAGAACATAAGAGACGCCAATGTTGGATCAGGTCAAAGGCGATCATGTCACTCCTCAGCCGATGTTTCTCCAAGCTAGCCCCAAGCGCTTTAGCCTTTCCTCATAGGGAAAGTGTTCCAACCATTGATTCATATAGGGGCATTATGATATTGGTTGATCTGTTTTCAATACCCTTCCTAATAATCCCCAGGGTCGGCGATGTAGCTCCCTCTTTTGATCTGACATTGGCTTCTCGATATTCTGCTATGTTCTTAGAGGTTCCTTTCTCCATTTTGTTGCAATCAGGGATGGCCCAAGAGAAGGGGACGGAGATGGAAGAGCAGGACCCAGAAGGACCGGGAACCGGCAAGAAACCAAGGAAAGGCCCCCATCCCGTCCAGGCGGGAAGTGGTGTCGAATTCTGGGGAGAAGCGGTGCCAGAGGTCCTGCATCAAGACACGGGGATCTCAGATGAACATCGCCAGCGTTTCCGGCGGTTTCGCTACCATGAGGCTGCTGGGCCCCGAGAGGTTTGCAGCCAGCTCCATGGACTTTGCAGCCATTGGCTGGAGCCAGAAAGACACACCAAGAAGCAGATCCTGGACCTGTTGATCCTGGAGCAGTTCCTGACTCTCCTGCCCCAGGAAATGCAGTGCTGGGTGAGAGGATGCGGGCCGGAGACCAGTTCCCAGGCGGTGGCCCTGGCCGAAGGCTTCCTCCTGAGTCAGGTCGAGGAGGAGAGGCAGGCGGAAGAGGTGAGGGAGCTTCATGTGGTCCATTCAAGGTGCGGTCTCTGACCTCAGCCTGAGGCCTCCCTGCCCACTACGTATTCCTCCGGACACTTGTCCGGGGTTGTAACGCCATGTTCATAAATATTAAGACCTCAGCCCTGCGGGATTTCCCGTTAGAGCAGGGAGTGGACCTGGCATGCGTGACCAAGGCTTCAGTGCGAGATGGGGAGTCAGTAGCTCTCTCCCCATTGGCTCCGCCTGGGTTCTCGGTCCTCCACCAATCGCAGACCGAGGGGCAGGGGGGAGGAGGGGCTCTATTCATCCGGGAGGCTTACTCCTTCAGGGCCCTCCCGCCGGTGATCCTCACGGGCATTGAGTGCCTGGGCCTAGTATGGGAAGCCAGGGAGAGTTTGGCTTTTTGGCTAGTGTACCGGCTTCCTAACATGCCGCCCAACAGCCTGTCTTCCCTGGTTGGGGCTGTGTTGGGCTGGGCATTAAAGTACCCTAGGCTGATCGTCCTGGGCGACTTCAGTGTCCATGCCGACGATGCAGCCTCTGTACCGGCGATGGACCTGGTGTTCTCCACTTAGGCGCTGGGAGTCACCCAATATATAACGGCCCCTACCCATCAGGCCGGGCACACGCTCGATCTGATCTTCGCTGCGGGGGTTACAGTGGACCGGATCACTGCTTTGGCAGTTCCCTGGTCGGACCACCACGCCCTGAAGGCCCGTCTGAATGTTCCACCCTGACCGTGTTTGGGCGGCAATCGTGTATTTTGGCTTGCCTGCGGAGCGAAATGGACCCTCTGTGGCTTCAGATGGCTCTGCGGGATCCCATGCCCCCGGGCGGCTCGTTGGATGAGCTCGTTGAGGACTGGCACGGTCGGCTCTCAGCGGCCATCGAAGCAATCGCTCCCTGGCGTCCTCTGCACCCTCGCTCTAAGCAAGCCCCTTGGTTTACTGAGGAGCTCTGGCCGATGAAACGAGGACTTAGACGGCTCTAGAGAGACGGTGGCGGCGCACTCACGAGGAGGCAACCAGAGCATCTTATAGGACATTTATGAGATCCTAAGAGGTGGCAACCAAAGCCGCAAAGAGACCATTCTACGCAGCTGCAGTTGCGTCTGCTAGCTCACTCTCGGCACAATTATTTAGAACTATTCGGTCACTGACAGAGCTGCCTTAGGGCAGACCAAAAAGCTAGAGAATTGGACATTGGCTGCGAGGCATTTGCTAGCTACTTTGCTGATAAAGTCCTGTCTCCCCACCGCAATCCCCCCGCCACAGTTGAGACAGTGAGTGAACTCGAGGCCCTGTGCGTGTCTTCTGGTTCTATCCTGGATTATTTCAGTCCACTCAGCCCAGAGGAAGTCGACAGATTGCTCTCACCGGTAGGCCCAACCATGTGCAGCCTTGAC